ACAACCGATGCTGTGCATTACCAACAAACTCCCAGTAGTGATGATGGATTGTGAAAAAAAAAATTAAAACTATTTAACTGGTCCTTAAATTATCTTCTGTATACTATTTGTGACTAATGACCTTTGCTACTGATGTAAAATATGTTCAATAATAAAAAAAAAATTGTCTTCATCCCCTATATATTTAGTGATTTTTTAGTATATAAATGCATGCATATTTTGAACTATTGAAGACTTGTAGTACCGGTACATGTTGCCCTAAAATTAGTATGATAAATTACTATAAGTTGCAAAATWATTTGTATTCTGTACTTAATAAAAACAAATTTTCAACATAAATATTGTGCAATAGCATATTTTTCTCTACAGCAGCCATAGTATAAGAACTAAAAAAGAATGCCTCTAATAATTATTATTTGTACGAGCAAATCACTACCAACCCAGCGGGAGGAGTTCTGATATCCCGTCGGCATGGTCCCCCACTGACCCAAATAGTAACAGTTATCTTAGCAGCTTCGTCTAAAACGCACGCGCTTATTTCATCAGCTGCGCCATGTCCCTCCGCCACCGAATGCAAATTTTGAATAATAGTTTTTTTTTTTTTTTGCAAATAATTAGTATGGTCAAGATAGAATTTGAAAAATTATTGGTGGAACTGATGGGGAAGAGTTCAATGTCGCAACTATAGTGACTCGGAGACCTAAAATGTTGCAACACTCTTTTTCCTAACGGCAAAAATTCATGATTACTATCACTGCGGATTATTATGTTATTGTGGACGATACCTGCGCGAGTGCTGGGTGGTCGTCGATGCCAATTTAATAGAGAAACCTGCAAACGGCCGGAAATTTCTAAAGTCCGCGAGACCGGAACGCGCGCGTATTTAACGGTTCCGGCAGCTCCGCCCGGCCAGTCAAGCGATAATTGCGCGAGCGCGGCGCGCGACGACTCGATGCGGACGGAACGCGAACAGGGCTGTCTGCGTCGGCGGCGGTGTTCGGTGACGCCGCCACACGTGTTGCCGACGCGGCGCATCGCGCACACGCGTAAACCGCGCTCGTTCGCTCGATCCGTTCCGTCCGTCGCAGGCGCCGCGCCGTCCGGTCTGCCAGCCGTGAGTGGCGTGCGCGTACTTAATATTATTTTATATCATATTATTACCTCGGGGGAAACGGTTTTTATTYCTGGTCCGCTTTTACGGTCTCCGCCGGTTGTCGTGGCGATTTACGTGGCCATGCGGTAATGTATMGTTTAAATCATCACGACACTCGTCCACAAGACAACCGGCCTACACATACCTTCATATTATATAACCTATACATAGGTGCGAACCAGACGAAGACGAAACATTGCCCTGATGGAGTTTGCGCTTGACTGTAGGTGAAGAAATTGGTTTTTTATATCATTTTTTTCCCATACTTTTCGTCAATTGACGTACCCATATACCGTAAAGTCTACGGCCAGTAATACCTATTTGAATGATTTCATGTAGGCACTACGACTGCAGTAGCAATTGTATTATCATAAAACCAGCTAAACGATAATTCGTTCGACTTCAAAAATAATAGGCATCTATTTTTTTGGCCCACATTTGTGTATTATCATTTTATCATACTCGAGTTATAACGCACAGACAAAAACGTTCACACGTATAATACCTTTCTACTCATATAAGTATATTTAAACCCGTTTTATACTGTTCGTATTACGCTTATACTTAATGTTAGATATACAATAATCATATATATATCTACACTACGTTAATAACGATTAAATCGTAATATTGTCACTGTTGATTGGATTTTATGTTAATTTTTGCATATTATTAACTGTACACMGTGTAAATAATGTTACAAACTCAATAAACATGTATTCTGATTTTATTTTCACAAAATTATTAAACTTAACAAATGTACGGCAATGAATTATAATTTAAAGGTAGAGCAATTAAATTTCGAATTAATTTAGTATTGATGGTTGGGTAAGTAAATTATACCTAATTCACCAGAATATTATATCATTTATATATCCGCATGCTGCACCGAGTTGAGTGTATTGATCTGTTCTATACAATATGCAAACTCGTTTTAATGTCAACGAATTATTGTTCTKCCGACTATAATTACTCGTATATATATATTAAACAATTTAAATATACTATGTAAATATTGAAGAATATTATACTATGAATTAGAATCATCCGATCCTTTCAATAATAATATAATCTCTGAGTAACTCYTCCAATTACATCAATTCATTATATTTCAAAGTATCAATAATGATCATTATTATAATGAATACA